TATGTATGTATGTACTCGTATGTATGTAACACATAAGTTTGCTGATACTAAATAGTTGAGCAAGTTATCTACCCTTATTTATTTATTTAATCTTTATTGTTAACACCTTAATAATTAGGGTAACAAAGGGCGAACTTAATGCCTATCTACTTTCTCTGCCAGTCAACCCGTGGAGTGATGGGATTTTGTGACAGGTATAATAACGTACATAAGTACTATAATATACATATAATATACAAAATCCATACATATGGTGTATGTTAATATATAAACAAAACATGTTTAATATATTATTTATATTATACATATAATTAAAATACAAAGATATAATATTATATGCGTTACATATAATAATAGAGTACATATATTAAAATTGCAAATAATTAAATATCTAAATATAGCATGTACTAAATTCTTAAAACAGCCCGTACTTGGCGTTCTTCTTACGTTTTCGAGCAAGGAGTTCCAGAGTTGTGATACCTGAATAGTAAAGAAATTGTTAGTGAACCCAGTGAAATGAGATGGAATTCTAATCTTATCATTAGACGAGAAGCGAAGAACCTTATCATGAGTTGAAAAGAGATACTCGAATATATCCTTGAGATATGTTGGAGAATTATTCAAAATTGAGAAAAGAACAAGCACAATTCTTGAGTTTCGTCTTTTTGGGATAGTGAGCCATTTCAGTGCGATCAATATAATGAATGATAATAAATGAATAAAATACTATCTTATTATTTACTTTGTTTACATTGCAAAACTTTGTCAGAATAATTATACTTTTTATTAGATAGGTGTCATAAGAGGTAACCGAAACAGCATATGTGTAGTAATATTTTCCTTTTTTTTATAGGATAGGGTGATAAACGAGCATACAGTCCACCTGACGGTAAATGGTTGCTGCGGCCCATAGACATCTACATCTATCCTCTATTACAAATCAAAATGCAGGTGCGTTGTCACCCGTGAGGACTAAGATGGAATGCCTCATTTCCAGTGAAAAGGGTCTCCGGTTCTCTACACTCACCATATGAAACACAGCAGCTTTAAGCTGCTATTTTACGCTGGTATTCTGTGAGAGCGTTGTTCTTCTCCGGTAGAGCCGACCCATTCGTGTTACAACTATACTTCTAATATAGCTGCAGCATGGCTCTACCACGTAAAAAATTCCTGATAACAAATGAAAATAATGAAAAACTGCGGTTGCCAACCCGTCTGCCAAGCGTGACAACTATGGCCAAATCCCCCTACAATGCAATCTATAGAGCACGCTCCGGTAGTAATAAAACCACTACTTTGATTTTTGAGCTTATTGCTTTAACATGACGAATAGCTTTCGGACGTACATTACCTTCATTATATTAGTATTTCTACTTTTGATCATATTTTAATTTTTTGATGAATATTATCTTAATGATGTTAAAAAACGTTAAAAATAAATAAATAAAGTTCTGCGTAAAAATATAAAATAAAAATGACGTGTCTTACTTTGTTTGAAGAGCGCTTCCTGCCCTCTCTTATGTCCGACAACGTTAATCCCAACACCGCTACATTAGGAAAGATACACCACCGTCGATAATACGAGTGTTTCGGCTCTAAACGGGGCATCGTCATCGTCAGGTGAAATACACACTGCGATGGCTGACCGCGAAGATGCTTTGCTCATTGTGTCAGGCAACACATATAATTGTTGTTTTATAGTTTTACGCAGATCTTAGCCAATTAATTTTTAACATATTTAATAAAACAGATTTTCTCAAAGTAATGCCTAATTGTAGAAATCATATGATGTTAGTATTAATTTTCTAAAAGTACGTGTCATATAGTAAGTATAATTGACATGAATGACAAGAAAAAAGGAAGCACCTAAGTGGATTACTACTGGTATAAAAATATCAAGTATTACAAAAAGAAAAATGAGATACATTTATTATAAAAACAAAAATACTAAAAACAAAGAACGATATATTCAAAATTACTCAAATTTTATATTATTTGGTCGAAAAAGAAAATAAATAACAATTTAATTACAAAATCTAAGAATTTATGTAAAACAATCTGGAACATTATGAAAAATAATGAATATAATTAGACAAACAATAAAAACATTGATTGGATAAATAGTGACGGTATAAAAATTATAAATCCTAATGACATTGCAGAAAGGTTTAATAATTATTGTTTGTTAACATCCCTGAGATAAAAATTGATTAAAAAAATACAGAAACATAGGACGCGCTTGGACAACCTCGAGTATAGCATATTTTTACGACCATGCTCCGTAAATGAAATTATAAGAATAATTAAATCCTTAAACAATACAAGTTCTGTGGGCAATGATTCAGTCTCTACTCATAAGCTAAAGGATTGCGCTGATATTATAGGTCCTATTCTTGTAAAACTCGTAAATCTATCGTATACACAGGGCACGTTTTCCAAAAAACTAACAAGCTCAATTGTGAAGCCGCTCTATAAAAAAGGTGATCATCACGAATTAACCGATTACGGACCTATTACGCTAATATAATTTTTTAGGCTAAGGAGATAGTAGAATTTACAACTACTTGTCAAAATATAACATTCTCCATAAAGAACAGAACGGATTCCAAGAAGGAAAATCCACAACACATGCCGCATTTTCTTTAATATATAGAGTAACTAATTATATCAACAAAAAGTACCAGTAGTTGCCATATTATACGATATGTCAAAGGCATTTGACTGTGTTGACCAAATTGAGTATAGACAAATGTGAAAGATATGGAATTCGTGGGCCTGCGTTAAATATGTTAAAGTCATATTTGTAAAATCGCCAACAATGTGTTGAAGTGACGCGTATTGATGAAAAGTATAACCGCACGTCATTTAGATATTCTTTTACCCACAATAGAAGTGTCTGAAAGTGAATGAAAATGAAAACTTGCCTAAAATGGCTCATTCAGCAGTCTTTTTATACACATTAAAGACTATTTTTGCACATTTTGATATGATGTATGAAATAATGTTTAAAATATGGTTATCTTGTGAATTGTTATTTTCTATTTAATTTAATTTTGACATGTTGACTCACTGATAATTAAAACAAAAGCAAGTCCTACACCAATCAAGAATCATCAATTAAGAGTCAAAATGCAGAGTTGTCACTGTTGAGTGTGAACTAAAATGAAGTGCCTCATTACGAAAGGGTTTCCGGTTGTTTGCACTCACCATACGAAGCCCAGACGCATTAGGCTGCTATTTTACGCTGGTATTCTGTGAGAACGCGGTATTTTCCCGATCGAGATGGCCTATTCATGCTGCAGCTATAATACAGCTGCAGCGTGGGCTTAACTCATCTCTTTTATATGGGTAGTTGTACATAATTTTCAAAACTTACTAAATTTTACTACTAATTTCCGTATGTTGATGTTGAGTACATATTTAATTGTAATTATTTGTTTCTTACTTTGACATTGAAATAAAAATTGAAGCCGCAATACTCTTTTATTAAATTTTATTACATCAGTGTCTGTGAAAAATTGAACTTCGTCTACATGGAGCGCTCTTAATGGCCAAAGGCTTGTCAGCTGGCGTTTTCAAGACGTTAACAGAGTTGAAAATTCTCGGTTATTGGGTAACTTGCAATAAGAGGACGCAGGGCGGCGGGGAGAGCGGGGTGTAGACCAGGCGCCTCATTGATCGTGCTCCGTACAGCATCCCCGCGCCTAAGTCGCGTCGCAACCCCGCCGCCATCGCTCTAAACAGCCACAAATTCAACACTCGAGCCAGTAATGGCTGCATTTCGAAAGTCTATCCCGATTCTTGACCCGATTCCAATCAATTAAAATGCCAATGACCTAAGCAAAGTTAACAAGGACTTGCATAATATACGTCAATGTAATAATTTAGGAGATTAATAGATTAACTTCGACTATGAAATTCTTTATTATTGTCATGTATTTAAATACTAATTCGTTTTAGAGATTATTCTTAACATATAATAAATTTCACTGTCTAGTATTAAATATTATTAAATCGACATCATGGACCTACAATTATAATTTAGTAATATAAATACAGACGAAGAAGATTCCGTGAAGAGCCGTGGTAGCTCTAATGGTTAGCGCTCGCTGTATATTTCACAGTACGCTAGCAACCCGGGTTCGAACCCCGCCGGCACCAATGAAATTGATAATTGCAATTTTAATTGCTGATTTACCACGTGCTCGGCGATGAAGGAGAACATCGTAAGGAAACCTGTATGTCTGAGAAATAAGAAAAAGAATTCGAAGACATGTGAAGTTCGCTAACACGCATTGGGGCATCGTGGCGGATATTTACTTGCCCAAAACCCTCCCAGAATTGAGGGGAGGCCTGTGCCCAGCAGTGGGACGTATATAGGCTGTAACTTTAACTTTTAACTTTTTGAGGAAAATTAAAATTTGGAAAGGGCGAAAAAATTTAGATAATTAGAGGAGGTAGCGTGGACCAGATTGGTTCATGTGCAGGGCGGGAGAGGCTGGCAGGGCTGCAAGGGAGACAAGGTCGGCGCGCGCGGGCGGCGCGGTGCGTGAATGGGCGGCGGCGCGGCTGCGCGGCCCGGCGCCTCCGCCAGTCCGCACACCGGCGGCTCCGCTGCCCCACGGTCGGCCGCACTCTGCTAAGCAACAATGCTGAAAAACACACCGTGACTCGACAAACCTAGCAGCGATACAGTCGGCGATGGTAGAGAATCGGGCGGCACGCGTGGCCGTCGGCGAGCGGTCGTGAATAAAGTATAATATATGAAAACCTTAAAAGAATTGAATTTGAAACTAATCGTATTTAACGGGTTCGCATAGAGGGGCGGTAGTGCGGTGTGGGGAGGCGGGGGCGGGCGGCCGCGGCTGGGCGTGTGATGGCGCGGCGCGGCGGCGCGGCGGCGGCGGCGGCGCGCGGTGCGGCGCGCGGAGCGGCGCGGCGCTGACATGGCCGGCCGGGCGCGCCGCGCGCTGCTGGCGGCGCCCGCGGGCCTGCTGCCACTGCTGCTGCTGCTTGGCCTCTTCTGCCCAAGGGGTAACACACCAAACCTTCACCAATCCTTTTCCCCCATTGTTTTTTCCACATTAAACATCCGAGCCTGGCATTCATATCAGCCAAGCCTAAGCCAATTCTTTTTCAACTTCTCATCTTACGAATTTCCTCGGCTCTTTGACGTTGGAATTATTTACCCACAAACCGTCGTTACTCACGTGGAAGGCCATTATTCCTTCATTTAATATTACCTTATACTTATCACCACTCGGCCTGCCAAACACGACAATTACGATAATTCTTTCCTATATCAGGTAACCCAAGTCCAATAGTGGACTATTGCTGGCCAATAACAAAGAGAAGAAATTCTGTAGCAGCATCTTCAAACTGCGATAGGATATTAAAATAAATCGATAATACGAGTATGTAATTTGTACAAAAAAAATGTCCAAAAACCCTATTTTGACCTATGTATATGTAATTCAGGGCGCCGACAACCTAAAAGTGATTCATTTTTGTTAGCTTTGCGTGTATCTATCTATCAAGGTATCAATCTATGTAACGGATTTGTTTTAAGGTAATTTTCACTTGTAGGCGTCCGATTGACTTGAAAATTTGCACTTCTATCAAGGACCGATGACAAAACAATAATTTGATAATTTTGTCCTAGTATCCTAATTACGTTTTATATTTTTACATATTCACATCGTATATAAAATTAATTAAATAAATAGATATAATTAATGCGTGTTGCTAAAGTTTTTCTTAAATATTATTTATGGATTTATTGGTTCAATTAATCTAAAACTATTTAAATCTATAATTTCCACACGCTTTAGAATAGCTTGACATGTGTATGTATGTTTGTACGTATACATGTATGTATGTATGAATGAATGTATGGATTTTATAATTCATATTTCACCCACTTCCAGGCGTCTCAATAATATGAAATATTGCGGACGTATTAAAATCGATGACAGTAAGTACCATAAATTCATAAATGTGACCAAGTGTTCTCGCTAGGACTAGGATCATAGCTCATGATTAATGCGTGTAGTTTAAGGTTTTTTAAACTTTAACATTATCTATACATTACATCAAGAAATTATCATGTTTTTTTCCTCTCCCAATATGAAAACTGAAAAATGAAACCTAACGTAACCAAATACCTACCTACTCATTTATCAAATAAAATATTAATTACTCTAATTATGGATTAAATATTGGAGAATTTCAACTAGGTCCATAAATGCCAATGTGACTTGATTGTGTGTTGCAGCCTAGATTCAAAAAGAGAGAACATTGTTTAGCATTCAGCTGTATAATCAATTTGTGCTAATGCACGGTAATTCGTATGCCTTGCAATATTTTCCTCACTACCAAGTGACCTCGTACCTTGAATTGTAACTCACCCGAGCATTTATCAAAGAAAACGTTCTTATATTAAAAGTAATAAAAACCTACTTATAGCAAATAAGAGCAATTTTTTTGGTTTATATATTTTACTATACAATCTCTTTTGTGTTTTTCTTTCGACTTCAATATACAGCGGCACTGTAGTAGAATTTAATCCCAGTTAACGTGCTCATACCTTAAACCTAACTGCTTCGTTGGTCTAGTAGTCGTAAACGCGATTGCTTTTCAAGTGGCCTGGGGTTCGATATCCGGGTTGAGCCAAAATCAGTCATTGGATTTTTCTGGCAAGAAATTCTCAGTAGCAGATTATTTATTCTGTGGTAGCAGCCCGGATTTAGTAGGTTGACAGTAGTGTTTCACCATCGTGCCTCGGAAGCACGTAAAGCTATTGGTCCAGCACATGAACTCTCTCCACCTGCAGTCTTATTGGATTGCAGTCCAATCGGATTATGAGAGAGAGCGAATGGAGAGCACACACTCTCGTTCACTATAATCCTGTCCTGCGCAAAGGGTCGTCTCCATTGCGACTACTGCAGTGAAAAAAATAGACGACATTATTACATTAAATCTTTTCATATTGAATAATTCATGTTAATATTACAAATATAAACCAATATAAAGACGTAATATTTTGACTATTATGGACAATATAATTGTAATCCCCTTAGAAAATAAAAAGAATAGCGTGAGATGAAAAAAATAATTTATTTAATAATTGTTATATATTCTTTGCCCAAAGTTAGTCCTCTTAATGATATCTCCTTCTCCTTCATAATCATCAACTCGATAAAATTCAATACTGATGATGCTTCCCTGCCGTTGTAGGAAAGGTCGGCCATAATTGTCGAGCTAAGTAGGGGGGATGGTTATTGTTATACCTGATGTCTAGTACCCAGTGGAGTAGCGTGCCTTAGAGGGGCCCTGTATCAAAATTTGTTGGAGGGCACAAATGAAGGGTAATGATTTTTCACAAAACGAACAAAAACTTTCGCATTGAATTAAAATAATTATATGTTGATTATAAGTTATTACTTATAATTAATGCTCCTAGGAAGTAAGCTAGCCAAACAATTCAAACCAACATCCTGTCCCATAAAAGTCCTTATAATTTTTGCTTACTTACGTTCGGGGCCTCTGTAAACCGGGGGCCCCGTATCATTGATACGGCTGATACGGCAATAGCTACGCCCCTGCTAGTACTCCTGATGTTGGATTTTGCTTCCCATCGCATAAATCTGGAGACAAATATCTAATACTACTGCTACTACAGTCCATCGCAATTCCACTGCTAAACATAGGCCTTCCAATCTATGGATTGCCACAAAGGGTATATATATCTAGTGTTAACGAAACGGTTATTCTAAGATCTGTTGAAAGTCATGATATCTTTCGGGCATTTTCTACCGACTTCAAAAAGGAGACGCTACTCAATTCAGCTGTATGTTTTTTTTATGTGTGTTAGTTCATAACTTCTTTCTGGCTGAACCGATTTCCATAATTCTTTTTTGTTTGGAAGCTGGTGCCTCTCATGTAGTCCCATATAAATTTAATCAAGGTCTGAACAATAGTTTTTGAGTTATTCTTAATAATTTATATTGAAGTCGGTTGTACAAAATTTTTAATTTACATACATACATATCCACAGTCGCCTCATACGACACCTCTAAAACCACTGTCCATGGCAGAGTTTAAGCTACATCTCGAATAAAAATTGTTCCATCAAATACACTCACAGTGACTTACACCAACTACAACTAGATGTTCTGTGTAGCTAAGTGTTCCGGCGCACCCCATTACTGACACGAATCATCATCATTATCCTTTTAATATATTAAAAAGAAGCGTTACCTAAAATACACAAGCTAGCAAGTACTTCTTTGCCGATAACAGTAGACTACAGTTATGCTATTGTACATTCGGTGTATATAAACGTATTCTGTATATTGTTAACGTTAACGTTACAGCCTAGTAAAGTCCACTGTTAAATATAGGCCTCCTCGATAGATTGCCTCATAGGGCGAATATTGCCATAGTTGCAACGGTAGGCAACCACCGTGATAAGCGCAGTTTTTTATTTTTAGTCGTTGTTAGGAATTGTTCCTGATTTGTTTCCCTCTGTCGCCTCTTACGACACCCACGGTATGATATAAGGTAGTGGATATTCTTAAACCGCCAATACACGGTAATTGTATAAAGTAAAAAGCGTTGAAGGTATTTGTTGAAGATATTTATCTTTATTAGCTCTCAAAATTCAAAACAACCAAGGTCAATAACTTAATTCATTTCATTAGAACTGGATACAATTTTACTATTAACAGAGACAAAAATATTGTTTTCTTATTTATTTAGGAGTGTTGTGTGGTTACCACGAGAAGCGGCTGCTGCATCACCTGTTGGACCACTATAACGTTCTGGAGCGACCCGTGGTCAACGAAAGCGACCCGCTACAGCTCTCCTTTGGCCTCACGCTCATGCAGATCATCGACGTGGTAAATATATCACCCATATCTCGTATGCTCTTTCTCTTCTTTAACATTTAATATTAAGTATCGTTTAATATAATGCTGAAGGGTTAATAGAATCAGGCATTACCTTGCGAGAATCCATCATATTTAAGATGAAAATGTAAGTTCATTTGCCAAGGTCTTACATTCACAGAAAATTATGAGGTATCTCCTTAAACAAGGCTATATACATATACCATTTTTGCTTTTGCGCGTGGATTATTCTAAGTTAATTAAGAAAAACTTAATTTCTCATTTTAATCTAAACGAATGTTGAAATTAATCCTTACTTCATCTTCTCCATCATCGTCATCAGCAAATAAAGTGCGACTGATGAACAGACGCCTCATCAATAATGTTATATTCACCTATAAATATAGTTTTTAGTATTTATAGTAATACCCTATCTACAAGGGTATGTACGAGTAAATTGTAATTTTAATAATGTATACAAATGTTGTGAATCTATACATATAATAAAACTGTAAATAGCAGATGTCTGTACATTTTATATTTTTGTAATAAAAGTGATTGAGGGGTACTAAGAATAAGTAATTAAATACATTTCTACCATTTTTAGAATTTTCTGTCTGTCTGTCTGTCTGTCTGTCTGTCTGTTTGTTTGTTAACGTATCACGTTTAAAGTACTAATTTATATCATAACAATTGTTAAGGAAATTATAAAGTAAGCCTTCGGGTTACATTTAGTCTTTATTTCATTAAAATCGGTTCATTCCATCAAAAGTTATGATAAATATTCTGAAGTATGGGTAGGGAATTTGCTCAACGGTGGCTTTGTTCGAGTCATCAAGTTGATGTTAGCAGCGCCATCTCTCTTTAAATATATACATATAATAAAAATGATGATAACATGTTGTGTCTCTTTCTGTACATTGTATATATATATTATGGTGACTAAAATCATTATGGGGAACTAAAAATAATTAAATAAGTACATTTTTATAATTTTTAGAATTGTCTTTGTCTGTTTGTCTGTTTTTATATGAAAGCATCACGTCTAAAGTAAACATCTTTTTTTTTTCAAAGAAATCGTTAAGAAAATCATAAAGTGTATCTTCGAGTTACATTTAATCTTTGTTTTATTAAAATTGGTTAATTCTATCGAAAGTTATGATTATTATTTTGAAATGTAGGTTCGAATTTGTTTAATGGCGCTACAAAATCTCAGAAATAGTAATAAAAAGATACGTGTGTAAAAAAAACGTTCTATTATAATATATTTATACTTAAAACACAGTAAAAAAAAATATGTTTTCCTTAAATTAAAAAAGGATGTTTTCTCACATAGAACGTAATAGATGGCGTTGTACAAATTACAACCTTTTCTGAATTGCGGTGTTAAGATTTTTCGCAGGTGAATCGTATTGACACTCACTGAAAAAATTAATGTTCATGAGTCCGACGAAGCTGCAAGCCTGTTAGAGCCGTGTAGGCTAACAACACAAAGCACAAACACCGGCGGCAGAAACAGAAAAAAGAGACGTACGTACGTCGAAATTATTCAACAAAACTCGAAAACTCGACTAAAAGTAGTAAATTTGCAATAAATGTCGTGATATTGTTTTATACCCAGAATCCCTCTAAACCTCTAATACCAAATAACTTTCCTTACAGTTTTAAGATAGGGATAATAACATCGATGATGACATCGATGTTGGCATCGATAGCTCAACATCGATGTTCGATGTTTAGGCTACTCAAAACATCGATGATGACCATTATCGATGGTTTTTGTATATGTGTAGATACTTACACATTGTTTCAAAATTATGTGGGTATACACATCAAGGGAAAAGTAACAATTAACTTGAATATCAATTTACGTAGAATAGTTATTATGCGACAACCGACAACGACACTACAAAATAAAGCGAAAGCAGTGACCATTGTGACATCACAGGTGACACTTGACAATTAAGTTTGACTCACCATACTGACATTTTTTTAGGTTAACGATGCGTTTAGGAATTCTGAATTATTCAAAATTTTTAATCTTCAGAGCAGATGCAAGATTTAGTTGATATTGATTTCGCGAGTTCGCATTGTTTGCAAGTTCCCAATTATCGATTATGGGTTCATTGACGTCGATGTTTCGATGTTTGACATGTGTCAACATCGATGTTAAAACATCGAAGTTTTAATTTTTAACATCGATGATCATCTAACATCCCTATTTTAAGTGTGTTTCCCACTCAGCGTGTGTTATGCGACGATCGTAAATAAAGCGCAAGGTCAAACTTTACGCGTTGTAGGAGTGGACCCCAGTACTGATTGTTTTGCACATGGTCAACTCTATGCCAACCTTTTTCTGTACGCCCCGGCTAAGTCTACTTCTATCGTCGTTTACACGGAAGCTCTATCATAAACGACTTAGAACTTTGAGCGTATCGATTTATTTTGTTACCACTTATTCATACAGTAATGATATAAATCGTTTAATATTCTCTTACCCTAAACGTCAAATTCTTTAAGTAAAACCTATATTCGCGAGCTACGCCGCGGGCACAGCTAGTTCTTTAATAAAATTAAAAAAAGACATTAGATTGCTTATATTCCCACGGAATTCGGTTGTCTATTGTATAATTAGCTGATAAAAAATTGAAAACTAATAAAATAACCTGTTTCCTAGGACGAAAAGAACCAGCTATTAATAACAAACATCTGGCTGAAACTAGTAAGTATTGTATATGGATGTTATATTAGTGTATAATTTAATGATTTTTACGTATTTGCAAAGGAAAGCTGTTAAGATAAAATCAACTTTTTAATTATTGTTTACCAATTCCTTATTTTAACATTGCCATTTCAATACATTTTTAAAATAGTTACAATTTCTAGATATTTAACGCATATTTTATTCCATTTTAAAAATGTTAATGTACATTTTAACTGACACTGTTCTAGAACATGGACGCAATGCCCTTTTGAAATCCGGAACCCAAACATAGGATTTTTTTGAAGTAAACTTTACCAAGCATTTAAACCATCTGACTAGGCTTCTTTACGATTTCAGAACATAAGGCAAAATAGTTTTTCATAAGTTGGTGTTTGCGTCCAACGTTAGAGTACTTACCTAACTCTGATCACAAACAATAGCTACTTTGCTCTCTCAGAGATTTTCGACATCAAAATCCTCAGGTTTTAATTCTTCGATACATTTGTGTTAGCGCTGACTTTACAAGCTATTTAATTATACGGAAATTACTTCACTCTCTTAGATTTCTCGTAGTTGATTTTAGTTTTATTAAAGTTTAATCGTTCTACAATTCAGTTTTCATGTTACAATTTGGAACATATAATAAATATATTTATCATCATACATAATCTTTAATAAAGAAAATACGAATCATTAATTATTTGTACTACTTTTTTTTAGGAATGGAATGATATGAACTTAAGGTGGAACACTTCGGATTTTGGTGGTGTTAAAGATTTGCGAGTGCCGCCTCATAGGTTATGGAAACCTGACGTTCTCATGTATAATAGGTATATTAACATTACTTTTTACTACATTTTAATTTAAAAGATGTATTATAACATTTTTTATAGATTTCTCATCACTACTTTCAGTCATCCTTGTAGTTTTTTGTTCCTCATCGGCCCGTAAAAATCCTCTGCAATGCAAAGATAGGTATACTCTGCAGTGGGGTTCTCCCATTGTGGAGAGTAATTGGCTAAATTGTCACGCTCGGCTGGCGGATTGGCGATTGCAGTAACAGAGGTCTCGCACTTCAGGTGCCGCTACCCGTTGCCGGTCTGGATATTTAACGTGTGGTGTAAACAAGATTTTTATACCGCTATCATACGAAAAGCATGAGATCTTTCTGGAATTTTCCATCTTCGCCTCTTAGATCGCCAATGAGACGAAATAGTGTGATGATGCGTGGGTTTATGTGTGCATAAATCCATCCGACCAAACAATTCGTTTAGATAGGCACAATATTCTAACATTGCTGAAATCTATCTTTGAGCTACAAAAAATTTAACGAACACATATAAAATAATTCCCTTTCTTTTTTTGTGTTGTTCTTTTTCAAAAGTTTGTCGCTTTGAAGCTGACGTGATTTCCGTCTTAAGATAATACACAATATTAATTATAGTTCAACAAAACATTGTTTTTCTCCTGCAATAGTGACACATTTTTTATAGGATAGGGTGACAAACGAGCACACAGTCCACCTGATGGTAAGTGGTTGCCGTGGCCCATAGACATCTACATATATCCTCGTTTGCGAATCAAAATGCAGTTGCGTCGTCACCCGTGAGGACTAAGATGGAATGTTTTTTTCCGGTAAAATGGGTCTCCGTTTCTCTACACTCACCACACGAAACACAGCAGTGTTAAGCTGCTATTTTACGCTGGTATTCTATGAGAGCGTGGCCCTTTCCCGGTCGAGCCGACCCATTCGTGCTACAACTATACTACTAATATAGCTGCAGCGTTGCCCTACCACTTTTAAAATTTTGCTCTACATTTTTCCATGTAGTGGCGGTGTATAAAAATCCACTATCCCATATCATACCGTGGGTGTCATTAGAGGCAACAGAGGGAAACAAATTGGGAGATGGGTAGCAGCGTCTTCCTAATAACGACTAAAATTAAAAAAAACTACAGTAGCCGACCCACGAGCCAAACGTGAAGACTGTGCCTAATATCCCCCATATGCGGCAATCTACACAGACAGACATATTATGTTCAGTAGTAGACTTTGATAAGCTGTAGTGATGATGATGATGATGATGATAATGGTGCATTCATATGTACATACATATATACTTTTAAATAATATACTAGAACGATTTCATTTAACAGTATGTTTTTTACTCATTGTTTGAAACATTTCATTTTATTTATTAAGCGCGGACGAAGGATTTGATAGCACATATCCGACCAATGTAGTGGTGCGTAATAACGGCTCATGTCTGTACGTGCCGCCTGGTATCTTCAAGAGCACCTGCAAAATTGATATCACTTGGTTCCCTTTCGACGACCAACGTTGTGAGATGAAGTTTGGAAGCTGGACTTACGATGGATACCAAGTAAGTTAAGATAGATAGAATAAAATAGAAGAAACGCGAAGAAAGCTTAAAGAATAAAATTATCATCGGATTATCTATTATTTTTAGCTTGATCTACAATTACAAGATGAGGGAGGGGGAGATATAAGCAGTTTCGTGACAAACGGTGAATGGGAACTAATAGGTAATGTAGAAAAAGTATACTTACTGTAATTGTACGGGTTTCCTTTTAATAATTAAAATTTTATAAAGTAGCAACTCACATATATATATATATATATATATATAACTATCATAATATACGTATTTCTATGCAGGCGTTCCAGGCAAGCGAAATGAAATCTACTACAATTGTTGCCCGGAGCCCTACATTGATATCACATTTGCAGTGGTGATCCGACGGAAAACGCTGTATTATTTCTTCAATCTGATCGTTCCCTGCGTGCTAATCGCCTCCATGGCTCTTTTAGGGTTCACTTTACCGCCAGACTCTGGTGAAAAACTTTCGTTAGGTAATTAATTTATTTAACTTATTTAATTACTATTTTTATTTACTACAAGCCTTATATTTAATTAAACTTATTTTTGTCTAGGTGTTACAATTTTGCTGTCGCTGACAGTGTTCTTAAATATGGTAGCAGAGACAATGCCAGCGACATCAGACGCTGTACCACTTCTGGGTACTTATTTCAACTGCATCATGTTTATGGTGGCCTCTTCTGTCGTGTCAACAATCTTAATTTTAAACTATCATCATCGGCATGCAGATACACACGAAATGAGCGATTGGGTACGTTGTATTAATTGACCCTTACTTTTGTTTGTTTTTAGTCATTAAATACAGCTTTGCTTAATTTTAAGTTATTTACACGTTTTTAGTGGTAGTTACAACATTCTCTGAAAATTCTAACCTCGCCTACTCGCAGTGCACTTTGCCTATACACGAACGAAATTAGTTCTGCGCTTACGAAACACAAATGTTGGCGAATTTTGAATGAACTATTCCCACCAATGGATCTGAAGGTTTAATTAAAAAGAATTACACCAATTGTTATAATTATAAAACAGAAGTTGCATAAAGATTTGTTGTTACATAGATTCGCTGCGTGTTCCTGTATTGGTTGCCGTGGATCCTGCGGATGTCGCGGCCGGGCTCTGCAAACACGCCACCGCCGGCGCGAGCGCCTGCGCCTCCTGACCTGGAGCTGCGCGAACGCTCCTCCAAGTCGTTGCTCGCGAACGTGCTTGACATTGACGACGACTTCCGGCACGCGCACGCGCAGCAGCCACCCTGCTGCCGCTACTACAGGTCCCTCGACGATCTACACGAACACTACTCGCCGTAAATAGAACGGTTACAATACTAAGCCCCAGCCTTAAACGTTCCGCAGTACACCAGACCCAAACAGCTTGCAAGCGACAACATCAACTCATCTAAAATCATATTTGAACTTTTAGAGGCAATCACATTACTAACTTTAGAAAGTGTCATGGGTCATGGTCAATTATTTCTCATTTTAATCGGCATTACTCCCGTAGTACCCCTCGATCCTCGGCCCACCCGTAGGATAGAGTACAAAACAAACAGGCAGCTACAAGGCATTACTTATTACAGGAGTGGTGAAGAAAATGGCGCAGGTCTAGCAGCACACAGCTGCTTTGGTGTCGACTACGAGCTTTCGCTAATTCTAAAAGAGCTCCGAGTCATCACAGATCAGGTACCCGCACACATTATAACTATTATACAAAAAAAGATCCGTTTACCATAAAGCCCTACAATACAATTTCCTGTGTTATGGAGGTTAATCCTTTCCATATCTTTCGGAAATTATTTTTACTGGTAACGAGGCATTTTAGTCTTTAAGAGTGACTACTCCTTAACATTTTGATTCCTGATCGAATGAAGATGTAGATGTCACAGCCATAATATCCACTTTAATTTAATTTAAAGTTTAAGTAAAGCCCTTACTTTAATTTAAAGGATATTTAAAAATACTTACATTGAAAATACTATCAAATATTTTCAATGTAAGTATTTTTTTATTAATAGAATCAGGCGTTACTTTGCGGAAATCCATTATATAAAAGCTTTTAGAAAAATTTTTACTTCGCAAATATCCGCGTTATAAAATAAAATGATGTGTCTTACCTAGTATGAAGAGCACCTCTCGCCCTCCCTCAATTGCGTGCACTATCCCCGTCACCACTAATCCCAGCACCGCTACTCCCAACACCACTATACTAGGCAAGACACACCACTGACGATAATGTGGCTAATCGCTAAGTACTTAGTAATACTAAGTACTTAGCGGTTAGCCACCGTAGAGTCTATATCACCTGTAATGCCTCGTGTAGAGGCGAAACACGTGTCGTATTATCGTCTTGCCTAGTATAGTGGTGTTGGGAGTAGCGGTGCTGGGATTAGTGGTGACGGGGATAGTGAACGCTATACACCGCTACTCCCAACACCACTACACCGTCTTTCCTAGTGTAGTGGTGCTGGGATTAGTGGTGACGATAATAGTGCACGCAATTGAGGGAGGGCGGGAGGTGCTCTTCATACTAGGTAAGACACATCATTTTATTTTATAACGCGGATATTTGCGAAGTAATTTATTCTAAAAGCTTTTAAATACTATCAAAGTCCACTCGTGCACAGCTAGCGTGGGCTGTGGACAAAAAATTTATCCCCCGATTATATCCTCTAACAAGAGATAAAATTATCTAATATTATAGTCCTAATGCCAAAGCACGGTAACCCATCCATAAAATGAAGCCAAATAAAAGATAATTTAAAATTAAAAATTTTGTACAGACGACTTCAATATAAATTATCAAGAATAACTCAAAAACTATTGGTCAGACCTTAATCAATCTCTTTCTATGGGACCACATGTGAAGTACCAGCTTTCAAATTAAAAAAAATCATCGAAATCGGTACACCCAGTAAAAATTTATGAGGTAACACATAAAAAAAAACATAAAGTTGATTTGAGTACCGTCTCCTTTTTGAAGTCGGTAGATAAAAAAGGGACAATTTTATCCTACTATTGGACGTGGGTTTTCGTTTATACTCGTATTCATACAAAAAATCTATCTAAGTCTACCTCCCATTTTATCTACTGTGGATATTATATCCACCAGTGTGCCCATGCTCGAAGGGTGAATAAAGCTAAGTGAGAGGATAAACATTTTCTCCAACCATGCTAGCCCTACTGCATAGTACGTTATATTATAAAATAATTTTTAATTCATAAAATATTCTCAGGAGCTATTGTAAAATATATCAAAACTATAAATATTAAGAACATCTAAGATCTATGGGAGATTTATTTTGTAAGTTATTGCACCACTATTATATTCATAGTAGATTGGACCCCCAATTTCTGACCTGTATCTGTATTGCCAACACTTAGTAATTTTTTTTATTGAACGTCAAGGTTTTTAATCTATACAAATAAATAAAATTGAAGTGTCTGTTTGTAATGTCAAAATACCAGCATTTTACTAAATGCATATGATAGTATATACGGTACTTATGACAAAAACACAATTTTTAAAATTTTTGTCTGTCTGTCGGTCTCTCTGTCTGTCTGTCTGTCTGTTTGTTCCGGCTAATCTCCGAAACGGCTTAACCGATTTCGACGGGACTTTCACTGGCAAACAGCTGATGTTATAAGGAGTAACTTAGGCTACTTTTATTTTAGAAAAATAATTAGGGTTCCGCGCAACATAATTAAAACCCTAAATTACACGCGGCCGAAGTTGCAGAGAACAGCTAGCTGTTCCACGAAAATCATTTTGAATTTATTAAGCGTCCCTCGACAAGGGAAGACGATGTCCAGCTGATTAAACATGGTTTCTGTTTATAGGAGAATTTCTAACTTATTTTCTGGTTTAGGAATATTTTTGATCCTTCCAAGTCTTACGATTATGTTCACCATGACACATTAATTAGGAGCTACAGTATTATGGTGTTGTATGGCTTATTACATCATATTAAACGTATAGAGGGAAACAGTTTTTATTAATGGAAGTAGTTCTTACGGATCAGTAGTATCTACAAGTGTTCTTCAGGGTCTTGCCCCTTTCCTGTGCTTATAGTTTGTATTAATGACTTACTTTAACTAGTAGAAAAAGCCATGATAAAGGTAGTTTATTTGCTGATAATACTTCGGATGGGTAACTTAAACGGCTATGAGGGCATCCACGAGTTTTCTGCCACCAAGGCGGCTCCATTTAAAAGTGAGGTGTAATATTTGACAGATTTCATAGCGGGGTAGTTAATTTGTTCGGAACATGTAAATGTTAATGGCATCAAAAACATACCTTGTAAGAAAAACCAAGTCTTGCAACTCAGTTCTTCTACCGTAAAAAGTTGTGAGTACCATGTAATACAAGTCGGTTAATTTATTCAGGCCCTACTTAAGGGTCCTTCTGTCTTAAGTTATTACGTAATTAGCTAACCTAACAACATCTTATAGTGACCATATCAATAATAAAAATCATTTATGTTTTAAATACATAAATTGACTTGGCAATCGCACTAAATAATCTAATTTAATATAATATGTATTACTTGAGAGATACATTGTGTTTTCATGCGATGGCCAAGTCAATCTATTTATTTAAAATATAAAAGATTTTTATTATTGATTTGTTCACTATAAGATGTTCTAAGTAAATATACTGAGAGTCTAACTAAGAAACTCCTTCGGAATTAGGTTATAAATTGCTCTCATTGCTCTCTTCTGGAAAAAAAGATAGTTTTAATGTCTGTCGCATTACCCAATAGCAAAATTCCAAACGACATTATGCTAAGGAAATAGCTAAAATAGACTAATCTAGCTGTTTCAACACATGTAAGGCTTCTAATCTGCATAATCTGCAAGACTAACTTTGTTAGCCTAGTTTAGATAAATAGGGAGCTCACTGAAGCTTCGCGTCCACTGTAATCCCGAGAAAAAAACGGTGGATTCAACAAGACTCAACACCTCTCCATTTAAAAGCACACTGGTATTCACCTATTTTCATTGTGGGTTGTGAATTTAATACATTTCATTTTATTACCGTTATCAAGCAAATCGTTGACGCTGAACCAGTGTACTAGTTTTGATATAACATTATTCATTTCGTCTTATTTTAACAACTAGCTGTTCCCCGCGACTTCGCCCGCGTGTTATTTATTACGATTGGGTTTCATGGGTTTTAATTCTTTTGCGCGGACCCCTAATTCTTTTTCTAAAATCAAAGTAGCATAAGTTACTCCTTAGAACATCAGCTATTTGCCAGTGAAAGTCCTGTCAAAATCGGTTCAGTTGTTTCGGAGATTAGCCGGAACAAACATACAAACAAACAAAAAGACAGACAGACAAAATTATTGTTTTTGTTATAATTACCGTATGTAATTTCATATGCATATAGTAAAAAGCTGTTATTTTTACATTACAAACAATCTCTTCAATTTTATTTATTTGTATAGATTACTTCTTAATAAATAGGTCCTGTGAATATTTAGGGGTGGGTCATCCTTGTCATTTAGGGGTTTCAAAAATAGATGTTGGCCGATACTCAGACCTTCCCGATATGCACACAAAATTTCATACAAATTGGTTGAACCGTTTCGGAGGAGTTTGGTAACAAACACCGCGACACGAGAATTTTATATATTAATAGACTAGATATTTTAAATAAACTAAGGTTTCTTGCTGATTCTTCTCATAACAGAGCTTTTTTCCGGATCAGTGGTAAATGCAAATATGACTTTCAATAAGGACTCTTATGTATTGTGTGTATTGTATTGAATAACATTTATTAGATGGTACTCTATTCTATAATTGCCACGATTGGTAGGCGGGTCATTAACCGTAGTTTCTTATCATTTTGAGTTGTCATCAGGAAGATCAGATTTTAAGTTGTTATCACCTTTTACGGCACCCTCGGAATGATAAGGGGTAGTGGATTCTTTTACGCTGCCCCTACACGGCGTTTATTAATTTTGTTCCAAAATCACGGTCCTGATGATGGTAAGTGGCTACTGCAGCCCATGGACACCTGCAATCAACTTCAAACAAAGCAGACAGACAACAGCTGCCATATCACCCTTGGGACCAAGATAATATGCCTCGCAGCCAGTATAAATACTGGTTTATCACCCTGCAAGTCAAAGCAGCAGAGGATCTACTATTGGTGCAGAAATAGCTACTAGCTGCACAGACAGATACCTAAGCAGGATGACCATCTTTAAAATACAGATCCTGCCTTACTTTGGTTAAAAACCTGCCAAATCCTGCCAAAGTCTGTTGTGAAAAATGCCTAAATACTGTCAACTTTATTTACCATTGTATTAAACTAAGAAAAGTTACACATATAAATGCTATATTTTTTTAAATTAAAATTAAACATATCTTTCGTTGGTTTGAATGCAATGCAATCGCCATGCTCACCAATGCCTTGTTTAACGTACAAGATAGACTGTAAATGTTTGTTTATAAATCTGTTTCGTGTTTTTGTCTTTATTAAATTTATTTGAGAGAATATTCTTTCGAATGTTGACTCCACTCATGTTTTTTAATGTTTACTAGTAGCGGCACGCTCCTTTAAAGCGGACAGCCAAGGTGCCAATTTGCAGTTACACAGTTTGGATCATCTTTAGATTTGGAAATCCATGATGAAAGTAAAAGATCTTGCTCCCACTTCGTTCTATACGCCCTTTCATATTTTCGCTTCATCACCGCCACCTATCGTTACTATCGTCCACGAAATATTATTAACAAGATGTTAATCTTGTTGATAATATTTCGTGGACGATAGTAATTATCAAAATATATTATACAAATATTATTAACAAGATCAACATATTGTTAATAATATTTCCTGGATCATGAAATCTAAGGCGATACCAAACTAAAGCACGTTTGTTTTATAACTGATTGAAATATTAACCAACTCGTGTAGATTTGTTTTAAGATTATCAACTTTATACACAAGAAAGTTTAAAGTTGTTTATTGAATGTGATACAACATAATGCGAGAAATCGAGAAATACAGAGAAATCCCCAACATGCTGACCAAGTATCGGCTGCCATTTTCGTCATTTTAAGTTTCCATAATGAAATCTATTTTTAACACCCCAATACTGCCAAATACTGCCAGGTTTTATAAAACGTCAACCGATCATGCCAGAGGTTAAAATAAGAGACCAATCCTGCCAAAATGGCAGGAACCTGCCACATATGGTCACACTGTACCTAAGCAGATTATTTTTATAGAATTTAAGGAGACAAACGATGACGCAACCTACCTGATGTTTTTTTTTAAACTGGCTTTACGGCTCTGGGTTCTAGCCCTTCTGAGCCTGTCTACCTGATGGTGCGATGAAGAAATTTATAATGCCATGGTCCATAGCCAAAAAACAAAATGCAAATACGTTGTCATTAATGAGAGCTAGAATAATAGAATACTTCGTTACCACTAAAAAGTGGTTCCGATTCTCATCACTCACCATACGAAACAGCAAATAATACATACAGGTATTCTATGCGAGCGTAGTCTTTTTTACATACTTTTTATACACTGTAGCGTCGCTCTACTACGTAAAACCTAAAAACCTAAACCCTAGTACCCAGTAAATATTTATGAACCTTGAAACCATTAAATATGTGGTCAATTTTTGTACTCATCTAGGGTTGCATAGAGCTGTAGCAACAGATTGCTTTTATTTCTGGATAATCTGGTACTTACTTTCACATCCAAATATATGGGCTCCCTCTTTTATTGTACTCCAAAACATAAATAAATGAAAGAAACAAACATTAAATATAGATAAATTGGACAGTCTTTTCGCCAAGAGAGAATTCTTCCAGATAACCTTTGTTTGATTGAAGCAGAGTCAACCAGTGAATGCACATGTTTTTCTGTTAGAGCTTTTTAATAGGTGTCAGTAGCCATTTATTGAACATCTATGTTAATCGATAACTCTTGTTGCAGATGCGCAAAGATGACGAAGATGCGGACATTTCGCGCGACTGGAAATTCGCCGCCATGGTCGTGGACAGACTGTGCCTTATTATCTTTACCCTGTTCACAATCATTGCCACGCTAGCCGTGCTGCTGTCCGCGCCACACATCATGGTGTCGTAGCGACCCGCCCGCTTGCGGCTGCGCATGCGTAACGTTCTGTGATACCCCGAATACTTGTTAAGTTGTGATGTGCGATATGGTGCGGGCGCCGACGCCGCGACGCCGAAGTTGCCGCCGCCCGCCTCCGCGTTCGCACCACCCTATAGAAATAAGTTACCGCTGACTGCCATCCCTATGCGCTCAACCAAATACTGTCTATCAAGATAAAGTCCCTTAAAATTTAAGAATGAACATGAGTGACTCATGTTACCTTTCTTTCAAACCTTACTATTCTTCAGTGTTTGGATTGACTGATCCCACATAAGCAATAATAATAGTTAAATACTGAGAACTGGCAACTCTATCATTATTGGTGCCGAGCAGACATTCGGTCCCAGATCAGATCAAAGTGGCAGTAGGTGCCTCATACGGCACCAGCGCTTATAGAAGTCCACGCTAGAATAGTCGCAGTTTCAAACAGCCATAATAATAACTTTATCAGTGGTTGGTTATGAAACTTAAGCACAAAAACGTCTTCCTTCATACCGTTGTACGACCTGTCGCGTTTAAAATTTAAAACTTTGTTAGAACTCTCTTGAATCTATGTACAGTTTAGGATTTGGGCAGTAAAACATTGGCCCCTTGTTTTATTCTTGTTCGATTCCGTGAATCGTGGTTATGATCCCTATGTTTATTTTCGGATGTATTTGTGTCCGTAGTTAGTATAGAACTTTACAAACAATGTTGATTCAATTGGTACAGGTTGTGATATGCCTCGTTGTGAACGGGTCGATATTGTTATAAAAATGGTAAAATATCCATGGCTAATAGCTTAATAAAACGTTCGTTAAAAGTTGTAGTTAAACAAAGTATTATTTTATTAAAATCATACCCGGGTCTTTCGGAACGACTTATACAAATAAATACATTACATGGTAATATCACGTTTGTACTCTACTCCTTTCGATACGTTCATATTGCTGGAATGATATAAGCTTTAACGGATTTTCTCCTATGTAAAACTTAATTGATTATATTAAAATACTTTTGGATTAAGAATTTTGATATTTTTGTGTTGTGTATCGCCATGTTTTGTTTATCAAGAGCATTGCTGTTCTCAACGAAAACCAAAAACTGATTTAAAATGTATCTCACAGTATTTTTGATCAACTAACCGCTCAACTTTACATATTACTTTGCTTATAAAGTTCATACGAACGTAATTATAAATAGATTTTTTACATCATCCGTCATCTAACTTCTCAACCCTACATTGGTTTTATTTAATTTTTATTGAAAACATTGTAAGCCTCTTAAAAATAAAACGTCAGCGACGAATAGGAACTGCGTGGGTATAAAACAACGAAATTGAATGTACCCACGCAAATGTCCTACATTACGTTTTCTTTTTTTGAGGTGGTGCTGTAAAATTATTGTAGGCGTTCCTTTGGAAGTTGCGGAGCGTCTATGATTATTTGCCCCGTGTTTTCTGTTATTCCATTTTTTTATCCCCATATATTATCTAAACAACCACTCTTAACCGGTTGTGTAACTAGTCGGGCGATAAACTCGGCACATTACTATCTTCGCAAAAGATACTTCTTTGTATTTGATACTGAACATGATGTGCGATTTTACCGTCGACGTTGGGACGAATTGTGCGTCCCTATAATTTGTTCAATTGTTAAGGTTAATACTCTGAATTGCACTTTGTTTATTAAATATTAACGAATGAAACAAACATCGTTTTACTTATAACCCCTGTGTAGTAACACCACCTATTTTTTCAATATTGAAGGTGACCTACATTCCTAGGGAGACGTTTTATACGCAGCCGGAGTGACTGAAGACAATCGATGCTATCCCGAGGGATAACCTGCACATGCGCGATAAAGGCAATCAAAATATTGTTCAGGTACAAAAGTACCTTAAGTACAAATACACACCACATTTCATAAAATATTCTAAAAGTAAAATTCTTTACATCGCACGACGTTCTTGAATAAGGAAAGATTATAGCTCTGTATAAACTAATATTATATAGTTATTGACTTATTATATACATATTAGAAAATACATTCATTTTTTTCTCATTTAATTAACCTTTATTAATTCATTTTTCTATGACTTAATTTTAAACGAGTATGCAAAATAGATATATAAAAACGTCTAGACGAAGCAAGTTTATGAAGTGTAGTTTATTCGGCTTTGGTGAGATTTCATGTTCTCAAAATATTTGTAACGTTAAAACTATAACAAAGATAAAGTCCTTTACCTTAGTCGACGTCGTCGAAATTATACGTATGACGTACGTCATACGTATAATTTCGTTGGGCGAGCTTTGCAGGCAGGACATGCGGTACGTTGCTACCCTTGATCCGACAGTAGTATGATAGCAGAATGTCTCAGTCATTATAGTAACAAGACATCATACCGTATTCAAGAAATCAAATAATTAAACAAAACTTAATTCTTAAGATAATAATCTCAGCATACGTTAACGTGATAAAGATTTACGCTACAACTCTATAAGGATTGTAGCAAGAATGGATATGATGGATTAGAAGATTTATTGAATATTTCTTTTATAGAATAAGGGTAACAAACGAACACACAGTCCACCGGATGGTAAGTGGTTGCTGATAGATGTAGAAGTCTAGGGGCCACAACCTAGACTTCTACAATGAATTTTTGAAAATGAGTAAAACAAATCTAGGTGTTTAGTCACTATTGAGACTTATAATCATTTCTACAACATGAGCTGCAGAGCTAAGTCTGCTTGCTAATTTCGATATTATATGGGATTGACACAAAAAATTTGCATCGAATTTCGTTCATTTGTTTGATACAGCCTATCAAAAGTCTACTGATAAATATAGGTCTTCCCTATAGATTGCCTTATAGGAAATATTTACCATAGTGCCACGCTTGGTAGGCTGGCATCCGCAGTTTTTTAATGTTTTGAGTTGTTATTGGGAAGATGCTGCTACTCATCTCCTCTTTAATTTTCTCTATCGCCTCTTACGTGACCCACGCGATGATATGGGGTAGTAGATTATCTTACGCTGCAAATGCACGGCAAAAGTAATATCAAGGAAACAATGGAGTATAGAAGGCTCAATTATTCCCCATTTAAAAACAGATTTTAAACGTTTGTCTTCATATTTTAAACATTTTAGTGTTGTAAATTTTATACATTTAGTTTTGCTGCCTTTTAAAGTTAGATTTTAACCTTACACATACACATACTTATTATACATACTTACATAACATTATTTATTCACTTTGTTATATTTATAAAAATATTTTTTCAAAATTGTTAATGTTGGTAGTAAAGAAATTGGTCTAAAATAGTGGCGTCTATTGTACTGCCTGAAATAAAGGTATGACTTTACTACCTATGTTTCCTTAAATCAGGAAACTCACCAGATTTAATGCTTTTATTAAAAATGGTGGCTACATAAGTCACACGGCAAGCCCTAGGAGCACCATAGGCACCGAGCACGGGTCTATTGAGCTCACTACGAATACGCAGTAGACTATGATGGGAGGATTGTAATCTTAGTCATTTCGTCGCAGTCGAATTAGTCTTCAGGAAGAGGATCGCAGCTCTTTCTAACCTGCCGCCCCGGTAGGATTTATAAAACGTCTCTGGCATACCTTTAGACTTTGATCTATGACGAAGACGACATATTGAAGTCTTGTCAAGAAGACTGTTATGTGATTATTATTATGAATATTAATTTTTATTCATGTAGTAATTAATACATGTCATTCTTAAATCATGGTTGCCGAACGTTTATCTTAAACAACATGAAGCTCGAGTCAAAAGTGCAATTACTAAACTTATTTAAGTATGTGAAAATGCGGCCCTGTAGATCGGCAGCAGTGTGAAGACGCGCGACGCGGCAAGTCCGTCAGTGAGCGCCGCCATGAGGGCCGGGTCGCGCGAACTCCTGTTGGCTCTAGCCCTCCTTGCCACACTTTATTCAGGTAGACAATGATAGCGATTATTTAAAATTAAAAATTAAATTTAGTTAACCAGCTTACATGTAAATTTATTAAAATAATTAAAAATAATATGAAAACCAATTCATAATAAATAAAATGTATTATAAAATATTGTCTGTGTAGTTAAACTTACTAACTTTATCAATTATTTCACATTACTACTAGTGATTAATAAATGATACAATAAAGTAAAAGTGTATAATTTATAATTTCAAAGTGTGTTATAAAAATCCAACGTCTCATTTACGGAAACGATGCATTTTTAATTGGTGTGAAGATTTTATCTCGCGTGCTCCTTATTGATCTGTCACCGCAACAGCATCAGTCGGTACTCGAAAACTGATCCCCAATGTGGCGACACTAGGTGGCACTAAAAATCCAGTAACGAATGAATTTGATATAAATGTGAATATTCATGGCAATATCTGTATTAAATTACTGATGATAATAAGTTATAACATCTGAATAACAGATGTACCATGGGAAATAGTTCCTAAAATCTATATCTATAAATTGAAATTATCGCATTGAAAAGAAAGAATCGAAAACGTATTAATTTAAAAAATATTTAAACAAAAAAACACAAAGCAAACTAAAATAATGTCATATATTATGTTTATGTACATAATTATACTTTATTGCTTTGCCTATATAAACAGTTCATAAAGGGTAGACTTGTTCACTTAGGCATTCTACCAGTCAACCTTGTGTTTAGTGAAGTAATATTTTAATGGTCAATCTAAGAAAAATATCATGATTTCTAGGATGGTGTTCAGAAGACGAGGAGCGGTTGGTCCGCGATCTGTTTCGCGGTTACAACAAACTAATCCGCCCAGTACAAAATATGACACAGAAAGTCGACGTTCGTTTTGGCCTGGCATTTGTACAGCTAATCAATGTTGTAAGTTTACAATTATAAATTACAAGAAATTATAGTTTTCATTGACGCCTTGCGTCAGTAGGACCTAAATCTTTCTCCACGTTAAACCTGTATTTTTATAACTGCATCTTTAAAACCTCTACAGCATTTGATATACATATGCACTGCATTATAAATTTGGGATTATTCAAGTACCGAAAAACGATGTTACCCACACGTGGTGCACTTACCAGAGTTGTTTATGATTTAAGTTATGCTTGACCAGCAACACATTCTTGAAAAGGTTAATAATGAGAATAAACAAGAACCTATATGTTGTGCTTTAACATAAATTTATGTGGACTATCCGTCGGCAGTCGACACCTATGTTCATCTTCCATGAATCAAGATGTATTTGCAATACAACTCCTTGGTTCTTAACTAAATCAAAAGGCAGGGCCTTTTATTGTGCATCTACAAACTTTATTTAAGCTAGTACCTATTCTTTGATAGCTTTGCTCTCTCATGTTAAATCATTAAAGTTATGCAGTACATCACTTTATATATATTGTTTATATATATTTATGTTGACTAACGAGGGAACAGTTCAGCAAACGATAAATGGCATGAAAACCTACACCCGTTTCAAAAAAGAAGACTACATGGTCCCTCATGAGGACTATGATAAAATGTTTCACATCCCGTAAATACACTGGTTCTCTTATCCTTCAAACTGAAACACCACATTTGGTGTACTGATGCTTGACAGCATAAATAGGTAAAGAGTTGGTATTAACTCAAACAGACATCTACGCAGAAACGGTGTCCTGTTCTTAGTATACTAGAGGTACTACTTACGAGTACTACTTACGAGGTATAGCGCATAACCCTTTCACGAAGATAACACATGAAGATACTTACATGCACAACACTATACTTTCTTATTATATTTTCTTGAATTATTCCAGAATGAAAAAAATCAAATCATGAAATCAAACGTATGGTTACGATTAGTGTGGATGGACTATCAGCTGATGTGGGACGAAGCTGACTACGGCGGCATTGGAGTGCTGCGGCTGCCTCCTGACAAGGTTTGGAAACCGGACATAGTTCTGTTCAATAAGTGAGTAACTATAGCTGATAATACCTACCTATCACTAGTAATTAGCAATTATAAGAAACTGATCCCATATCAAAATAATGTGAATTATTAATTTAATGAATACAAACACACAAATTAAAAAAGCTAATCCTACACAGGCTTACACGTGCTAGAGCGACGCTGCAGCTATATAATGGTTGTAGCACGAATGGGTTAGCATATTCAGGGAAGGACCACGCTCTTACAGAATACCAGCGTAAAATAGCAGCTTAATGCTACTGATCTGAGTGTAGAGAACCCGAGATCCTTTTAACTAACGGCCCATACTTGTAGCAAAAACTCTCTCATCTGCGAGTGTAGCGCTATAGAAAAGGTTTCTTCCGTTAAATATCTTGGTATGTATATAAATCAGCAATTAAATTGGCAAAGACAAATTGAAAATTGTACATCAAGAGTTAGAAAATTGATATGGTTATTTAAATATCTTAGATATGTTGCGGACAGACAACTTCTGATTCATATATATATAAAACTTTAGTGCAGTCGATCATCAGTTACTGTTTGCCTATTTGGGGTGGAACGCACAAAACGAAATTAATTCAGCTTGAACGTGCTCAAAGATCGATCTTGAAAGTTATACTAATGAAAAAAATTACATACAGCACCGTGAAAGTATATGATGATTGTAATGTTCTTACCGTTAGACAGCTTTACATCTTACTGTGTGTTCTAAAACCTCATAAAACTAATACTCCTGATGATAAAATCAATGCTAAACGAAATCCATACTTTGCTATTCGCAAAAAAATATCAAAAACCATTTTTGAACAAAATCAATACTGCTCAAAATCAATAATTTTATGTAACAAAATAAATAGAGTACTACACATTTATAACATGTCATTTCTGGAATGCAAAAGAACGTTAATTGCTTGGCTGAAGCAATTGGATTACCTTAAGACTGAAAATTTGTTATGACATCTTGATGACCGAATTTATATTAGATAAGCTTTTTTGTTTTTTTTTTTAGATTTCAGATGATTTAGTATAATTTACTTTTTGGATGTTACTCCGTTGCCGAGTTCCAGGAATTAAAAAAAAATTGTTAATATACATGTATGAATTCTTACAAACTTGAAGAGTGCTTTATCCTAGGACAAGTTTATTTAAAACTTAAATGGATAAGGCCCACACACTCTGTAAAACATGTACTTTTACCAATAAAAAATTATTATTATTATTATTATTAACTAGAAACGAGGCATTACATCTTAGTCATCAGATGTGACAGCGCATATCCATTATGATTCTTAATCGAAGACAGATGTAGATGTTTTTGGATCACAGCATCTACTTACGATCAGATAGACTGTGTGCTCTTTTTTCACCCTTATACTATAAAATAAAATCTTATAGTCATTGAGTTATATGTACTACGTACTAGAGAAGCCATTCCAAACAAAAATTGTGTCCTACTCTATGTCTTCGCGCATGCGTGGGAGTAGTAGTCGCGTAAAATAAGATATTAATATAAAATAAATATAAGAATTTAATATAAAATATCTTAATTTAATCTAAACAAACATATTTCAAAATAAAATGTAATAATAATTATTTTATGGAATTCACAAATCTTCAATTTACGCAATATTTAGTTTAGTGTACGGATTGCAATACAGTTCAGTTGTGTGCGGTTGTTCATGGGCGGCGGTAGTCACTTACCATCAGGTGAGCCGCATGCTCGTTTGCCCCCTCTCCTATAAAAAAAAAAAAAAAAAAAAAGAACATAGTCAATGTTCGGAATGGCTTCTCTAGTACGTAGTACATATAACTCAATGCTTATAGTTTATTTCCTCTCGTATAGTAACAAATGAATTCAATATTTTGACAGTGCTGATGGCAACTACGAAGTGCGATATAAATCCAATGTTTTGATTTACCCCAACGGTGAAGTACTCTGGGTTCCGCCGGCTATTTACCAGGTAAAATCTTGTTATCTTTTCCTTCTTACCAATTTTAAAAACTAATTATAGAAATTAGACACCTAATAAAATTGTTGTAAAATATAATAACGTAGTTTATATTATCATGTTTTCGTTGCTACGTAGCTTAAACAGTAACAAGTTCTTACATACATACATACATACATAATACATACATACCGTCACGCTTGTAAATCTCGAAGGGATAGGCAGAGTCCAAAGACCAACGAACTAATCGTCTACACAATCACAAACCCAATAATATCACACAAGTTCTTTAAATAAAAAAATTAAAGAAAAAAAGGGGTGTGTTACAGAACATTAATTTTCAATAACTGACAAAGAAGCATACGTTAAAATTTATAGTTACACTGATGTGCAAAATGTTTTAGGTATCTCACATAATTTTTAATAAGTTTTATTTTTCTTTCAGAGTTCATGTACAATCGACGTTACCTACTTTCCATTTGATCAACAAACCTGCATCATGAAGTTTGGCTCTTGGACTTTCAATGGCGATCAAGTTTCGCTTGCGCTTTACAACAATAAAAACTTCGTGGATCTTTCAGACTACTGGAAATCAGGAACTTGGGATATAATAGAAGTGCCTGCTTATTTAAACATTTACGAAGGCAACCATCCCACTGAGACGGACATTACTTTCTATATTATAATCAGAAGAAAGACTTTGTTTTACACGGTCAATTTAATCTTACCAACAGTACTAATCTCATTTCTCTGCGTGTTAGTCTTTTACTTGCCTGCGGAAGCTGGTGAAAAGGTGAATTCAAACAATTAAGAATATACTAAAATCATTATTGGCTCCATCTTCATTTATATTTTTGTTACAGGTCACGTTGGGCATAAGCATTCTGCTCTCACTAGTCGTGTTTTTATTGCTTGTATCAAAAATTCTACCGCCGACGTCTCTTGTGTTACCTTTAATTGCAAAATATTTACTATTTACTTTCATTATGAACACCGTTAGTATACTCGTCACGGTTATCATCATAAACTGGAATTTCCGAGGACCCAGAACACACAGGTATGAGCGGAAAAGACTTTCTTAATTTCAACTTTTTTTTATAGGATCGAGTGACAAACGAGCACACAGTCCAACTGATGGTAAGTGGTTGCTGTGGCCCATAGACATCTACATCTATCCTCGTTTACGAAAAATGCAGAAGCGTTGTCACTCGTGAGGACTAAGATGGAATGCCTCTTATCCAGCAAAAATGGTCCCCGGTTCTCTACACTCACCATATGAAACTAAACGTGTTAAGCTGCTAAAATTAAAACTAAAACTTAAAACTTAATTTTTAAGGTTCCATACCCTAAAAAAGGTAAAATGGAGTCCTATTAATGTCACTTTACTGTCTGTTTGTCTATTTGTCTGTCTGTCTATCCGTATGTCAGAAATTTATCTCGTAGACGGCATAGGCTACACCCCTGTAATTTGGATATTTGGAGTAGAATGTTTAGCCAATACCGAAGATTAAATTAGCACCAAATTCAATTACAATATTTTATAGGACCCCTGAAATAGTAATAATGATAGTTACTCGTAGTAGCACAATAAAGTACAAATATATTTTTTATTCTTTTTATCTTCAAAAATAGAGCAGTGTAAGGTAGGCAAAGTTGTCAGAGTACTGTTTTTGTACTTGTAACGGGTTCTACCTCAAAAAGTAAAATAGTTATGAAAATAATAAAACATCGATTTATAATATAGATATGACCAAAAATCTTTCACTGCATGTTGCTAGCAGGCCAGTCAGACTTTGTTCTGCCTTTTCCAACGACAATTTGTCCTTTAAAAAATCTTTAAATTCGCAATATAAATATTGAGGGTCACTTACCGGGATAAAAACTGTCCTATCTAATATCCTAACTATCCTAAGTTGGAGCAAGCAGTACACATTTACAAAATTTCAAATTAAATCAACACGTAATTTTTATATATAAAGATTTGTCGATATATGTACTAACCCTAATAGAGCGAGACCCACACCGCACATGGACGTTTTTTTTTTCATTTTTGTGCAGTATTGAACTATTGCTAATATTAATTAAATTTAATTAATATTAAATGAAAACAAAATGAGCTAAAAATATAATAACTTTTTTAGTTGATCTTGTTCTAAACTAAAATTATACAGTGCAACTTAAATTTCAAAGACTAAGCAAGTAACCTGAAGTCAATTCCTAGATGGAATTAAAAGTCTATGAACTCGGTGAGAAAAGAAAACGTGAAAGCCTGCATATCTGAAGAACAAGACATATTTCGGGAACGTATATATATACGTAGTAGAGCCACGCTACATCTACATTATGATGTAGCGCGGCGCTATCAAGCGGCCTGGGGCCTCTCACAGAATACCAGCATGAAATAGCAGCTTAATTCTGCTGTGTTTCATATGGTGAGTGTAGAGGACCGGATACCCTTTCAACTGGAAACGTGGTTTCCATCCTAGTCCTCAGGGGTGATAGCGTATTTGCTCTGATATGTATAAGGTTTTAGAAAGGCGAGAAAGAAATTATAAATCGTTTAATTTTTGCACATACTCATCGAAATGTATCTTATGGAACACCGAAATGCTACTATACGTCTGTACGTACTCCACTTAATCCAACAATGCTAGGTAACTTGCAGTACCAGCTCATATGTGACAGCAATACAACATACACGACCAGATTTCCACTTGTATTGTAAGAAACTGTCCTGGCGTGAAGTACCGCCGCAACTTTGCAAGGAAACATGGTTTTCTTGCGGCTACTTTAGACTTATACTCATTGAACCGCCCAAAATTGAAGTTCAAAGAAATTTCAAGTCCTAACAACAGTAGGAGGTCAGTTTATTCCAAAGAATGAAACTCGTAATGGGACGATTTGCGGTGAATACACACGTTTTAGTGGTGCTGTCTCACAAAAGTGATAGTGCCCTATTCGGAGTGTGAGATTCAAACGCCATCGATATTCATAAGAATAGGATAGTAATAAAGTTTTTTGTAGAGTTACTTTAATTTTAATAAAGGAATTGTTTATATTTTGAAATCCTTACAGAATGCCCCTCTGGATACGCAGTGTCTTTCTTCACTATCTACCGGCAGCTTTACTTATGCGTCGACCGCGGAAGACTCGTCTACGATGGATGATGGAAATGCCAGGGATGGGCGCACCACCACATGCTGCAGCAACGCATGATTTGCCCAAACATATTAGGTAATATGATTTTAATATATGAGCATATTTTTTATTCATCCTCATCATCATTATAGCCTTTCATAAGTGCACTGCTGAACATAGGCCTCCCCCAAGGAATGTCACAAAGCACAGTTCTGAGCCACCTGCATCCATCGACTTCCTGCATGTCTTACCACGCCGTCACTCCATCTCGTGGGGGGTCGCCCTACACTTCGCCTACCGGTACGAGGCTGCCACTCAAGAACCTATCTTCCCCATCGGTTGTCGGTTCTTGCCACTTCAGCTTACTAATTCGTTGGGCTATGTCAGTTACTCTGGTTCTACTGCGGATATACTCATTTCTAAGTTTATCCCGCAGAGAAACCCCGAGCATAGCCCTCTCCATAGCTCGCTGAGCGACCTTGAGCTCTCAGATCCGTAAGTCATCACTGGCAACACACACTAGTTGCACAATTTCGTTTTAAGGTTTTGAGGTATGTCTGATGCGAAGATGTGTCGTAGTTTCCCGAACGCTGCCCAGCCGAGTTGAATCCGTCGATTAACCTCTCGGTCGAAGTTGGAGTTACCTAGTCGGACTATTTGTCCCAGGTAAACATACTCGTCAACAACTTCGAGCTTAGTGCTCCCAACAACTACCGGCATAGGTGTGACATGGACATTAAACATGATCTTTGTTTTGTCCAAGTTCATCCTAAGACCTATTCGTTGGGAGACACTATTGAGGTCATTGAGCTTGGTGCTTAGGTCCTCCAGCGATTCTGCCATAAGGACTATATCGTCGGCAAATTGAAGGTGAGTGATGTACTCGCCATTGATGTTAATACCGTATCCTTTCCAGTCCAGAAGCTTGAAAACGTCTTCCAATGCAGCGGTGAAGAGTTTCGGGGATATAACGTCACCCTATCTTACACCTCTCTGCAATTGGATAGGTTTCGTACGCTGGTTCTGTACTCGGATAGCCATCGTAACTCTAAAGTACAAACACTTCAGCACTTCGATATACCGACAGTGGGCGTGAGAACTTGGCACCACTGAAGGGACTGCAGCGCCGCACAAATTTCGACGGAATCAAAGGCTTTCTCATAGGCCACATACGCCAGACATAATGGCAAATTGTACTCTTCGGACTTCTGTACAATTTGCCGAAGGGTATGTATGTGGTCTATGGTGCTAAAGCCCTTTCGGAAACCGGCTTTTTCGGGAGGCTGGAAGTTGTCAAGTCTGCGCGCGAGACGATTCGTAATGACTCTCGAAAACAGCACGTAGACGCGGCTCAGAAGGGAAATCGGTCTGTAGTTCTTCAAGAGAGCGTTGTCACCTGTCTTGAAGAACAAGACCACCGCACTTCTGCTCCACGCCTCCGGTGTAATGCCACCATGGAGGACGGAATTAAAGAGCTGCTGAAGGACTTCAAGTACCGGTCTTCCACCCGCTTTCAGAAGCTCCGCTGTAATTCCATCCTTGCCTGGGGCCTTGCCGTTTTTAAAGTGCTGGAGAGCCATTCTAATCTCGCTCAGACTGACGTCCGGGATATCTTCGGAATAGTGTCGGATAAAACTCTTTACTCACACTTGCGTGTGGCTCCAACGATGACGCGAAAAGCTGCCCATAGAACCTTTCAATCTCACTCAAAATCTCAGGTTCCCCGGAAACGAAGCTGCCACACTCGGTCTTCAGCTTTGACAGTTGGCTCTTTCTGGCAGACAGATCTCTGGCAAAGACTTTGGAGCCTTGGTTCCGCTCGATCGCTTCTTCAATACAAGCTGTATTGAAGTTGCGTAAGTGATGCATTTGGAGATCTGTCTGTTCAGTTGCATGTATGCTGTCAAATCTGTTGAAGAATGCAGCTTCATCTCCCGTCTAACAGCCATGAGATTGAGAGTGTGATCGGAGAGATTTTGTGTTCTTCTGCGGCGGGTCTTGCAGAACTTAGCTCCGACCGACTTGCAGAGCTTGTCATTCATATCGTCCACTTCATTGCAGTCTTCTAGGCACTGAAAACGGTTTTGTAACTCGAGCTGAAAGGTTTCGGGACTTTGGAACAGAGCACGAGGGGGACGGAGCGTTGACTTCATTAGACAAGACCTCTCCAACTTAACGTTTAGGTTCAGTGTGCCTCTAACCATTCGGTGATCACTACCAGTTTTCACCCTCGCGATCACAGAGACATCATTGAACAGTTGTCGTCTGGTCTTCATAATGAAGTCAATCTCATTTTTTGTGGAACCGTCGGGGCTCGACCAGGTCCATTTCCTGTTGGGCCGCTTCTGGAAGAAAGAGTTCATCATAAAGAGTTCCTCTTTATCCATGAAGTCGGCCAGCTGCTGGCCCCTTGGGTTCAGTTGCCCTATTCCAAATTTCCCTACTTTCAGTTCACCGTTCTCTCTTGTGCCTAGTTTTGCATTGAAGTCTCCCATTAACACCGTATATTGGGTTTTGGAGGAATGCATGGCTCTAGAGATATCCTTATATATTTCCTCCACATCCTCATCGGGGTGTGCCAAGGTTGGTGCGTAAACCTGTATGACCTTCAGCGAATACCGTTTGGTGATTCTGAGTATAAGGTACGCAACCCTCGTCGACACACTCTCAATCTTTACAACGTTGTTAACGAGAGACTTGTGGACGATAAAACCGACACCTCCTTGGGACAGATGGTCGCCCTCCCGGTGATAGAGCAAGTTGCTGGATTCGAGGATTACCGTGTCCTCCCCCTCTCTTCGAACTTCGGATAATCCTATAATATGCCAGCGTAACTTGTCTATCTCTTCTTCCAGCTCCACGATCTTCTCGTCAGTCCTCAGGATTCGTGCGTTGTATGTTGCCAGGTCGAGTCGTTTTAGGTGGCAACCGAACCTCCACCGGAGATTCTTAGCACCCCCTGCCCCGCCGTTACCATGGTCGCCACCGTAGCCAGGAATAGCGGGGCCACCGGGGACTGGGGGCCGTTTCTTTGTTACTGTCATCATAGGGGGGTATTTGCCATAGTTGCCACGCTTGGCGAGCGGGTTGGCAACCGCAGTTTTTTTATTGTAAGTTTGTTGTTATCAGGAAGATGCTACTGCCCATCTCCTACCTGTTTCCCTGTGTCGCCTTTTACGACACCCACGGGAAGATATGGGGTAGTGGATATTCTTAACCGCCACTACACGGGGAGTTTATTATAAACTTTAAACTAAAAAATAAATACTTATACTACTATAATTTAAATTTACTAGATATATAAGAGAGCGTCTCTTAGCGGTTTAATGTATTTAATTCAATCTTCACCATAACGTTACATCTTTGCCGTTAACAATATTTTTACACAGTTAAATAATCTATTTCATAATATATAATAGGGATATTTTAAGTAAATTATTTCCCCACATTAATTATCATCGAATGCTTCATATTTAGTGAACTTTAAAATTTCAAAAGTAGGTGCCTATAATCTTTAAAAAATAGACAAGTAAAATCGGCTAATGAACCTCGGAGGTGTATACAAGTTAATTAAATACGACAGGCAAAGGGCAGAACTGAAATGCTAGCTAGGTAGTTCTGAGATGTTAATAACAATTTTCACCACTTAATTTTAGTACAGCAAAATCTAGATAAAGAGACTATCAATGATCTGGCGACAGTACGTCGTCCAAGATCCGGACGACGCACCAAGCGTACAGATAATTTATTACATTTATTTATTTATATTTATATGGTAATGCATTATTTAACTGATTTTACTGCGCACGCACACATTTTGAAAGGGTCGATCGGTAGGCAAAAATGTTGTTGCTCATAAATCACATTCAATTTTGGATAATTTCAAATAAAAGTAGAAGCCTTATTTACTCATATTTTCAAAAACTGTAATAATGGTATACCATTATTCTTATATTTGAACTTAAGTTTAAAATTTGGTTACTCTTTGAAAAATAACCTTGTATGGATGTATTGAACGAATTTCAATGAAAATGAAAACAAAAACTTTTAAATAAAATTATAGATATTTTTGATTTTTATAAATTATTATTTTCTAGAAATCATAAGCTTCCATTTCGAATTAGTGTTTTAGTTTTCGTTCGTATAAAATGAATTTAGGATACTTATTCGACAGTGCAATCGGTGCAAAACAAAGCAAAATGGAAGCAATGGAATTGTCTGATCTTCACCATCCAAACTGCAAAATAAATCGTGCGGCTGGTGGCGGCGAAGTCGGAGCCCTCGGTGGGTTTAGTGCTCTCGGTGGTCTGGGACTTAGCGAAAGGAGAGAATCTGAAAGTTCAGATTCATTATTGCTATCACCTGAAGCAGCAAAAGCGACAGAGGCGGTTGAATTTATAGCCGAGCATTTAAGGAATGAAGATCTTTATATTCAGGTACGTATTGGTTGACTTAATGATTTCTTATATTTACGCGAACACTACACATTGAATGAAACTAGTTTCTTTTTATGGATATATATTGATCTATTTTTATATTCTCGATATTTCCAACATACGAGTATTATACGTAAATTGTACAGTTATTTTGTGAGAAGACACTGGCTCCTGAGACACAGTTTTCACCCACATTAGGATTCAGGGACTTTACATTTATTTGTTAAAATTTATTGGTGAATGAAAGCATTATTAAGTGAGGTACCTATATAGTTTTCTCATCTGGTTGGGCTGTATAAATATGTAATTGTAAATGAAAATGATAATCAGACAGAAATATCAACAAAATAAAATAAATACATAAAAATTACATAAATATATAAAAACCCAACCAGATGGAAGCCCTCGGCAGGGGTGACCAAACGGCCGAGGTTTAGGAGAAAAGGGAAAGAAACCGGCGGACGATGCGGGCGGTATCGAGAAGCACCGCCTTCTGCATTTGAGCTTGGAGCGATCCGTCACGGAGTCCCAGTCGCCTCAGATGACCCGAGAGGCTGACTGGGATTAACCCGTTCGCAGAAACGACCACAGGAATAATTTCGGCCGGCAGACCACCTCACATGTCGGTCACCTCGTGAGCCAGTTCCAGATATTTTATCAGCTTTTCTGTTTCGGCTTTCACGAGGTTCTCGTCATAAGGAATGGTAATGTCGACCAAAAATATCCTTGACTGTGCCCGGTCCATCAGCACAATATCAGGCTTATTCGCAAGAATAGTCCTGTCTGTGATGTAGGCCCGGTCCCAGTAGAGCCTGGTGTGGTCATTTTTGAGCACGGCTTCCGGCAAGCAATTATAATATGGCAGTTTCCGATCCATGAAACCGTATTTCAGAGAGAGCTCCTGGTGTAGAATCCTGACTACTAGGTTGTGTCTGTGCAAATACTCTGAGTTAGAAAGCGCCGAACAACCGGAGATGACATGCCTAAGTGACTCACCGGGATGGCTCAAGCTCGACAGATGTCGACGGCGCCATCCTTTAGGGTGTATTTCCGATAATTGTTGGTCTTAATAACCTGATCCTATATCGCACAGACAAAACCCTCGGTTTCCCCAAAGAGGTCACCGAAACGTAGCCAGTGGAGGGAGGCGACTGTGTCTACGAAAGGCTCATGTAGAGCCTTGTAGAACCTCCCGTGAAGCTCCATCTCCTTCCATACGGTCTCCCGGTCGGATATGCTCTGTACTGCCGGGTCTTGCCATTGCTCGTTGGCTAAGGATAGAGGGGTAAGTCCTTTATCACAAGAAATAACGTCCCTATAGAATGGATCATCCGCTCTCATTAGAAAGTAATTACGAAGGCTGCACACTTCGCGATTATGCATGGTAAGCGCGCTTAAAAAGCCGCGTCCACCATGCTTCCGCGGCAAGTACAGCCTCATTACTGACGACCTCGGATGATGCATCCTGTGGGACGTCATAATAGTGCGGACTTTACTATCCAGAGCGTTCAGTTCGGTCTGAGTCCACCTGAGTATGCCAAATATATACATGAGAACAGGCATGATCCAACCGTTATATGCATGTGTCTTATTAACGCCCGAAAAAAGACTATTAAGCACTTTTTTCAAGCGTGCATAAAACATATCGCAAACTGACTGTTTCATGTCCGCCTCCTCGATACCTATGTTCTGTGACATACCCAGGTATCATATGTTTCAGCCTCGGATAGGGTCTTTATGTTGATGGGCATAGATAAGTCTATGCCCTCAGAGTTAGCAACCCTACCCCTTTCGACATGGAGCACCGCACACTTATCCGTCCCCAGCTCCATTCTAATAGAATTGCTAAAATCACAAGTGATGTTTAGCAATTCCATAAGATGAGAGCGACTGGAGGCGAATAACTTGAGATCATCCATATAGAAAAGGTGGGTCACTTTTGTACCTCCTCTCTGAAGCTGAAATCCCCTCCCGGAACCCTCCTGTAAGGTACTAAGAGGATTCAGAGAGAGGCAGAACCAGATTGGACTCAAACAATCGCCCTGGAAGATACCCCTTCTTATCCTTATGTGGTTCTCCGCAACCATCATCCGCTCGCCTAGATGACAAAGATCGTACTCCACTGCCCCATACACTGCCCGAGGAAGTCTCGAACTGTACAGTCAACCTTGTAGTCTACCCAGGCGGCGGAGAGGTTCCGACGGTTGCGTTTAACCACCTTGCCAATGACCGCGTCAATGAGGAGTGGTTTCTCGGTTCCACGACCACCGCCCCGACATCCATTTGGAGCGCGCGACATCACCTGATTTGAGTTCAGGTGACGAGTGATTCTCGCGCTCAAAATGGATGTTAATGTCTTTTATATGGTAGGTAGACACGTTATGGGGCGGTATTTGCTCGGGTCTGTGAAATCCCGGTCTTTAGGAACCAAATGAGTGATCCCAGTGGTGAAGAGGCTCGGGAGCGACTTTTGGTCGAGAGCCTCTTGAAACTGTCGGGCGAACACAGCGTGACACAACACGAACCCCTTCAGCCAGTAGTGATGCAGTCCATCGAGTCCCAGACTTTTCCAGTTCGGGGCCCTACGGACCGCCTCAACTATATCATCCGGTGTTATGATGACGGGGTCCATGGGCGTAACATTCGCACACCGACTCGCCACAACTTCCGTCCAAGGGCCCTCGCCAGAATGCGACAGTGTCGGCCTGATGCGGTGCTGGGCCCGTTCCACGTACTATTGGCCGCTTCAATGATTCATAGAGCCTCTTCTGATCACTCTGGAAGAGACAATTTTGGGTGAACCGTGTTGACCTCTCGGTATATCGCCGAATCCGCTTCCCCCAAGCAGCAATTCTCTGCTTCAGGTCGTCTATGCGCTCCGTCAGTTTTTGCGTTATATCCGGCTGGTACAAACTGATATTTGTCTCAGCAAACGCCATCCTGACGGTGCGCACAATTCTCGGCCTATTATTGCCCGACCTAAAGCTTATCAGCCTGCCGATGAGAGCCCTTGCCTTTGCGATACGGTCCTCAATCCTTCTTCTCCAGGCTGGGATGGCGCTACTTTGTCTAGTAGCGCGTCCAGCCGTGGGAAGTTTGGCGCCAATAACATGGCAAACTGCCAGTGCGGCGCCAAAAATAATAATAATAATTATTATTATTATTATTTCGAATACATTGCAATACCCATACCCAAAGAGGGACTAATGTGTTCAACGTCCCAATGACATAGTATACAACAAATGTCTTCGCTTAAAACAAAAAAATTTTGTACAATCTACGCAGAAAGAACTTATATTATTTTGTCTTCTTATCCTTCCTATTAGGATCCTAAGCAGAAATTATATTTTTTTTATAGAATAAGTGTGATAAAATAGCACACAGTCCACCCTTATGTTAAATGGATACTGTGACTCATAGAAAACTTCATCTATATACTCCCTCGATTAGGAATCACAATGCAAATTTTTCAATATAATCTCCTTCAAGAGAAATACATTTCTCACACCTCGCATACAATGCCTTTAACCCACCCAAAAAATATTCTGTATCTTTCTCTTCAAAATGACGATCAACCGCAACTTTCATTCCGTTGTCATCTGCAAATCTCCGACCCCGTAAGTCGTTTTTCAAATTGGAAAACAGGAAAAATTCGCTAGGTGCTAGGTCTGGACTATACGGAGGGTGGTCAATCTCTGAGAAGCCCATGTCTTTCAGAGCTTGACTCGCAACATGTGCGATGTGAACGGGCGCGTTGTCTTGCAGAAATTTCTGTACAATAGCCTCGTGAACCTGAGTCAATAATTTAAAATTTAAAATTTTGTCTCTCGTTGTTGTTGCATTATGTGGGCCCATTTTTTACCATCCTATATAAAGGTCAGCATCTTGAAGAATTGATGACATCTTTTCAAAAATGTCTTTCGGTGTATTTCCCGTCTTTACGAGGAATTTTATCACGGCGCGGTGTTCAAAATTCTGAGTATTTCCAGATTCAACAGACATGGTGATGTTTGTTGTTCTATAAATAATTGAACTACGAGTGCAAACTTAATTAGTGATTGCTTTTATAATACTACTGAGTGTTGCAACTAGTGACATGAGTAACAAGCTAATTACTCATCTTAAAGTTGGTAAAAATTACCTTACGTACATCCGCTCGATAAAATAAAATGATGTTGTATTATACAACTATACTAGATAACTGCTATTTATACAGTCTGCTGAGAGTTGTTTTGGCTCACCGCTCATTTAGCGGTCAACCATCGCAGAGTCTACATCACCTGAAGATGCCTCGTGTAGAGGCGAAACACGTGTCGTATTGTAGTCAGTGATGTGTCTTTCCTAGTGTAGTGGTGTTGGGAGTAGTGGTGCTGGAATTAGTGATGACGGGGATAGTGCACACAATTGAGGGAGGGCGGGAGGTGCTCTTCAAACTAGGTGAGACACATCATTTTATTTTATCGAGTGGATGTACGCAAGGTAATTTTTACCAACTTTAATATAATGGATTGCCGCAAAGTAACGCCTGATTCTATTAATTACTCATCGTTAAGTACCCTAGGCTGCGAACTTTTCAGCCGCCCTGGTACTTGATGCTAGAAGTGCATCTGGTATTTACATTCAAACTGTTTGAAAATAAGTATGTTCATTGGCAATTTGACTCGAGATTTTGGAGAACGGGGGAATCAGAGAATCTTACATGAAGGTTTTTTTTATAGAGAAGACGCACAAACGAGCATGCGGCTTGCCTGATGGTAAGTGACAACCGCCCCTGATGAGCAACGCTAACACCAAGAATTTCAGGTGCGTTACCAGCCTTTTAAAATGGAGTAGGCTCGTTTCTTGAAGGTTCCTAAATCGTATCAGGCCGGATAAATTGCCGATTCCACAAAGAATATGTGCGAGGAAAAAAACTTCTGGTAAATCGCACAGTGGTAGACCGCCAATCACTGAGATGATATGGATAGAATCGCGTACTTGTCGCGATGCGCGATGGTGAAATATGTTGGCTAGATTTAGTCCGAACAATTACTCTGAGCACTCCCAGTGGTAGATGCGATAGAGTATGCAAAGGAATGTAACATCTCTTCGCAGCGCCGGTGAGTCAAGCCTATTGGAAAGAACTCGGTCGACAATGCGAGCCGCTCTTCACTGGATGCGGTCAAGTTGAAAGAGCTGGCACTGGCCGAACTTGCGTCTTGTAAAGTAGTTGCAAGCGGTATGCCGCCATAAAATATTGTTCCGCTCTTTTTAGCCTTCGCTTCCAAGTGACCGCGGAACTGAACGTCATTCGATCGGTAGATGGTGAGAATTTCGTAACTGACTGAAAGAAGTACCCTGTCATTGCGTGCTTGAGTGCTTTCTGACGATGTCTTTTCCATTACTAAGCAGGCTGTAAATCCCGTACTATAATTGACTGCGAGAGCTTAGCCCCTGAACTACCATGTCTAAATTATTATAAAAGAATAAAATATAAAACAATGAATAGGTATGATCAATATATACGTTGTAACATCAATAATATAACCTCGGTCAAATTAACCAAATATTTCATTAACGTGCCATTTTAATTAAAGTTATTTGTTTCAGACGCGTGAAGATTGGAAATATGTAGCTATGGTGATTGATAGACTGCAATTATACATTTTCTTCATAGTGACCACGGCTGGGACGGTGGGGATCCTCATGGACGCACCACATATATTTGAATATGTTGATCAGGACCGCATTATTGAAATATATAGAGGAAAATAAGTTATAAGCAAACATTTCACTATATCGTTATCATTATTGATAAAACATGAAAACTTATATTATGTTTCCAAAGTTGTTCATTAATTATATTGTTTTACACAGTAGGTTCCTAACAAGACACAAAGTCTACAGTTTTAAGACCCTACAGCACGTAAGGAAATTTATAATTTTTAAATAAGTAATTTATCGAGATGGTAAGTAGAAATAAACATATTGTAGTTATTATTATTATAGAATAAGGGTGGCAAACGAGCACACAGTCTACCTAATGTAAGTGGATACTGTAGCCCATTGACATGTACATCTATTATTACTTAAGAATCAAAATGGAGATCTGTTGTCACCTCTGAAAACGAAAATGGAATGGAATATTTCTAGTAAAAAGGGTCCCCGTTCTCTACACTCACCAAACGAATCACAGAAGCATTAAGTTATGTTAATACATTTAAAATTATATGCAGCTAACAAACACCAGCAACATTATTTTATGTGCACATTTGAGCGTGAGTTCTTAGTTCTTACGATAAGTTATGCATGATTTCGGCGTCACTTGAAATGTAGTGCTCAGCCTATCTTTCTTTGTTGGTTGAGTGTAAAGATTAAACAAATTAAATTCTTTCGATGTATAACGAAACGTAGTGTTAATTAATAATTAATGAATAGAAAATAAAATGGCTGTGTTCGAGGATTATAAAACTACAATAGTTACTAAATAAATAATCGATATACGTTAGTATACTATATCAGTTTTATAAAAAAAAAATCAGCTTAGTAGACCACGTGTTGTCATTTTATGTAACGAATTATTTCAATAGTTCCATATTATATAAAGCCAAATTTTATAATAAAATTAATATCGACTAAATTACCATAGTCACGTACACTTTCAAATAAGTGATACCTATTCGTAATGATGCAAAAAGAAGTGACTTAAAATAGTATTTTTTAAATATTTTCAATTTACTTTACAGTAGGTTTTTATTTTATTATTTAGATTGTTAGTTTACAGTAGGTACCTACCATTGAAGTAATATGCCCCTACTCTTAAGTACATTATACTTCAATGGCACCTACATATTTATTTTGATCAGGCTTCTTTGAGCCAGCCTGACGAGCATCAGCATAAATTTGTTCTATGAAGAGCTGCAATGACTATGACTAATATTTTGCTCTATTTAAGCGCAGTTGTCGCGTAACGCATAATACTTCTTTTAAGCGTCTCCCACACAGAAGCGGCTTGCGGTGGAGGCCAGTTGTATTCGCTTGCAATGTAAGTGAGTCTGCAAATCCGTGCGGCCATGTCGCGATCTGCGAGCGGCTGACCGCGGCCGCTCCGCCCCAACCAATCCGCCAACGCGTGTGTGTTAGTCGGTGGCAGCAACACGGTCAGTTGCAAATTTTTACAACAGGGCGCGTGTACCGCTTGAAAAATGGTGCTGAATTAAAAGATTTTAATAGAAAGAGTGCAAACTTATCCAGTAGGTACTTTATGATAATTCGCATTGTGATAACAAAAGCATTAGGATTAAAAACAAAATATATGATAATACTGCTGAATATAATAAGACCGTCACGGTTAGTCATGTTCACTGACGTCCAATCGTAGCACAACACCACAGCGAATGGCGCTTCAGGCCGCCGCTGCAACCGCGGTGGTGTGTTGTTGCAGCGTCTGGAGCCGGCTCGCGGTTAGCCGCCACAGCAAGCCGCTTGTGTGTGGAAGACGCTTTATGAAATTAAAAACCTTAGATATTCCTCATTTTTTTTAATCAAAAACGAACAGTATTAAAACAAGATAGCATGTAAATATGTACCTCCATACAACTAAATTTTATAATTACAGTTTCCAAGCAACACAAGAACTGTTACACTTCCACATGATTTAAGTACCCATTAGTCTAAATTGGGTTTAATTTCCACGAATCCAGGTCTACAAAATAACCGTCGAACTTCCGACTAGATCTTCCAATTGTTAATCTAAATTATTTAGTCTTAAAAGGAACATACCTAATATCATTTGTAAATTTTATTTGTATTGATTTAGAAATAAAAGGTATTAATACAAATTGTGATTTTCATTATTTAATTAGCGTGCACTGCAAACATTTTTTTAAATAAACCAAATATTATTTAAGTACACTACGAATTCGTTCCAGTGGACTTTCGAATTTCATAACAACTATTGATATTTTTTTATTGAAGAGGGGGCAAACGAGCATGCGGCTCACCTGATGGTAAGTGTTGACTACCACTCACGAACAACTGTAGCACCAGGGTAATCGGTGCGTTGCCAGCCTTTTAAAAAATAGTAGGCTCCTTTCTTGAAGGTCTTTTAGTCGTATCGGTCCGGAAAAATCGCTGGTGGTAGTCAATTCCACAAGGAAGTTGTGCGATGAAAGAAACGTCTTGTTAATCGCACAGTGGTGGACCGCCAATCATCCAGATGGTATGGATGGTATCGCGGGTTTTGTCGCAATATGCGATGGTGAAATTTAACGGCTGGAATTAGTCCAAACAATTCCTCCCTATAAAATACAGAAGGGGATGCAACATCTCTTCGCAGTGCCAGTGAGTCAAGCCGATCAGAAAGAGCTCGATCGGCGACAATTCGATCAATTAGAACCGCACTGCGGTGGATGCGACCAAATGGAATGAGCTGGCACTGGCGAGCCCCGGCCCAGAGATGGGAACAGTATTTCGTGTGAGGCCGAACCTGCACCTTGTAAAGTTGAAGACGGTGTGCCGGCATGGAATACTGTTCCGTTCTGCTAAGCACGCCAAGCTTTTTAGAGGCCAATTTGGCCTTCTCTTCAAAGTAATCACGAAACTGCACGTCATTCAATAAGTCGACGCCGAGGATTCCGATACTGGCTGAATAAACAAGAGGAGTGCCCTGACACTGAGGTAAAGGGGTAATTTTTAGTGGTAAAGGCACAAACTTGCCACCCCCAATCCGAGACTTCGTTCAACAATGACTCGACTTCAAACACAATTCAAGACACTGTCGTCCGCATAGCAAATGAATGTTACCGGTTTGACCAACCCCGCTATGGCTATATATATGGCCAGCCCATTGCCACTTCAGCTTACTGAACCGTTAGGCTATCCTCATTTCTGAGTCTATCACGCAGAGAAACAGCCCTCTCCACAACTCACTGAGCGACATTGAGCTACCTCATGCGGCCAGCAGTGAAGGACCATGTCTTAGATTTATACAGGGGTATTTTGCTATAACCGGCAATGACAAGTGGTTTCATCATTCTGGCGCTGTGTTTGTAAATTTCACAGAATACGGGCAACTTGAGTAACCGCCGACACTAGTTGAATTGTCAGTTGTAATTTTATTTTATAAGTTCTGAAGTTCTAATTTACCACGTACTCGGCGGTGGAAGAAACATCATGTGGAAACCTGCGTATCTGTTGGGGGCCCAATTAGAAATGGGTAGCTTTGTAGACATTTATACAGGGTTACTTTGAAATAACCAGCCAAATTTGCAGAGAAGATTCAGAATAAGTAATATAGGCAAGAGGTGACAAAGATTAGTTAAGAAAATCTCAAACATTCTGTCCTTTTTATCTTTTAAATTCAAAATGCGTAGTAATGCATTATTTTAACTAATTTTACTGTGCACGCACACATTCGTAAGGGTCGATCGGTAGGCAAAAACGTTGTTGCCCATAAATCACACTCAATTTGGGATTATTTGAAATAAAAGTAGAAGCATTATTTACTCGTATTTTCAAAAACTGCAATAACGGTATTAATATACCTACTAAATCTATGATTATTTATATATTTGAACTTAAGTTTAAAATTTGCCTACTCTTTGAAAAATAACCCTGTATATATTATATACTTAAATATATTTCGCAACTGACTTTTCATAAGCTAAATTTACTTCAGATGATTCAAAGACACATCTGAAGTAAATTTAGCTTATAAACATTTTATTGAGTTGTATCTGTTAATATTCAATTTATGTATCCCTGAAAGGTAAAAATAAAGTATAACATAAGAAAATCTTGGAAAACAAAAGGTATAATTACATCCAGCAAAAATAAACCAAATATGTACTTAAAATAAAAAAGCAATGATCAAGACAGCAAGTTGCAATATAATAAATACTGCAAAGTTATGAAGCGTCTAACAATAGTAGCCAAAAAACAAACTAACATAAATTACATAAAAAATAGTAAAAATGCAATAAAAACTACTTGGACTATTATAAAACAATATACAAAGCCTACAAATGATTTAAAAACAAAAATCGATTATATTTTTTTTTCCGTCACCTCTTAAACAATCAATTGTGACGCCGGTGTTTAAGGGTAGCAAGAGAGACGATATAAGTAACTATCGGCCAATTTCTGTTTTACCGTCTGTATCTAAAATTATCGAAAAGTTAATTAACACTTGACTCATAATATTTCTTAACAAATTCAATATACTATCTGATTCACAATTTGGGTTTAGGCAAGGAAATTCCACAGATGATGCTGTCTTAGCACTAACAACTCGAATCTCGGACTGCCTTGATAGTTGAAAAAAATGTTTAACGGTCTTTCTCGATTTAAAAAAGGCTTTTGACACAGTCTCTTTGCCCATCTTTTTACAAAAATTAGAACATTGCGGTGTGAGAGGTACACCACTTAATTTATTAAGAGACTACCTGTTTGGTCGAACCCAAAGAGTTAAAATTTATGATTATATAAGTGGGAACTTACGGATCTCCTTTTACGTTCCACAAGGTAGCGTTTTAGGCCCGACTTTATTCCTTAAATATATTAACGAGCTTTGTGATATGAATATTGACGGTGGTCTCGTGTTCTCATATGCTGATGATACTGCACTGCTTTTTATGGGGACTTCTCGGGATTCAGTTTTTAAACTTGCACAATCCGGGTTATTCAAAGTGTTCAATTGGCCTCAATCAAACTTACTTACATTATAATTAATAGAATCAGGCGTTACTTTGCGGAAATCCATTATATAAAATCTT